AGCTAACGGCTAAGGGGGGAAACTGGAGCAAATGTTGCCACCAGCTCTGGAAGCCTCGCCAGCCCGTCTGTTCAGAGGCTGGGGGCGGAAAGGGGGGGGGGGGGGGTTCCCGAGGCCCGATCCAGCTTTATGCTCTTCCGATCCGATCCTGGCCTATCAGAGCATGCTATAGATAGGCCTAAGTTTTGTTCAAATGTAGACACTCAAGGGTAGTAAGGAGAAAGGGGGCCGCCATATTGGATCGAGTCGCAACTTTCCGTGTTTAAAAACGTTCTAATTTTGCAAATCAAGTGAGTTCTGCTCTTCTCTGATGTGCTACATGACCCCCTTGATCCAATATGGCGGTTTTAAAGATGGCCGCCGTGTTTCGGACAAAGCCTAAAAGATCAGGCCCCCTCCCACTTTAATGCCGTGGCGTTCAGATTAGGGATGTCCCGATCCAGCTTTTTTCTCTTCCGATCCGATCCCGATCCCGGCCTATCAGAGCATGTATCAAAGTACACACACGCTGTAAATGGGCCTAAGTTTTGTTCAAATGTAGACACTTAACTCATTGTTAATGTGTTTCTACCTTATTCCGTTCTTCCTGGACTTGCGTCTCACCGGCGACATGTTCTCTCATAGCGAACCGTTACCTTTTTCTTATTTGCCTACAGTCTATGCTCATCTCCCATCAAAAGTGGCACTGCCCCCTAGAGGGTCAATTTGTTACGACATACTCTGTCTAGAAGCCGATATTTACGGACAAGCTTTAGCAGATCGTCCCCCAGCCACTCTCGCTGAAAAACATAAAAGACGTCTATAGACGTCTTTGGCAGTCAATGAGTTAACATCTATCTGCGTTCAAATACCTGGGGACCAGAATTAAAGGGGACCACAATGAAGGATTTGCCCCTGGTGGCCCTCGGTTTGTACCACAGTGAAGCCTTAAACCTGACCCGGGTTAGAGGGGATTTACAAGAAAGGTTTTCCAAGATTACTGAATCCCCAAAAAAAAAGGATTCTTGTAAAAAGATTTTTTAGGTTAAACCCTTTTGTTTGCAGGGTTGTGAACGTATGGAGGGACAAAAGTGACTCCTTGGTAGGGATGGGGATCAAAACCCGGTTCTATCAAGGACCCGGTTCCACTTTTTTCAAAACCCGAAAATCAATACCGTTTGGGCTTATCAATACCACTATCGTTTTTTTTATTATTACAATAGTAATTGTGAAATCGGCAGCATACAAGCTAGTTAGCTTGAAAAGTAAATAAAGTTTCAGACGTGTTCAGATTGGCTCAGTAAAACGACAATTAGGTTATCATGATGCGTTCAAGTGTAACGTAAAGAAAAGGGAAATTGAGTTTTTGGCGAGAAACATGAGTAATACAGTTGTATATTGCTCTAATTATTTTAGAATATATAATTAAACTACTGATGCCAACATTTAACATTCCTCCCCCGGGACTGGAGGTCTCACCTGGGTCCCGGGACCTCGGACTGGCAGTCTTTCCTCTTCAGAGACTCCCCTCTGGGGGGCTCCGGGGTGTCCCCCCCGCCGCTACTCATCTTCAGCAACTATCAGCACCTGCAGGGAGACGAGGAGAGAGAGAGAGAGAGAGAGAGAGAGAGAGAGAAACAAACGTTACATTTTCTTTGCTTTTTTTCCCTTTTTTCCATTATTTTTTCTCTTTTCCTGCCCACCCCGGTCACGTTTGGCATCAACCATCTTACTTCTGTAACTAAAATAAATCTAAAATAAATAATAAAGCAGTACTGGATGATCTGGGGGGGTTCTCACCCTGACAGGCCTCCTTAAAAAAAGGAAAAGTGTCGAGCAGAGCACGAAACTCAGATTACAACTCGGTTGCCATAAAGCTAAACACGACAAGGGGTTAACCCTTTAAAGCCCGATCCAAGGAAAATAGGAAGAATATTGCATTTGTTTAGTCTGAAGTCTTTCTTTGGCCCCTAAACAAGACGTGAGGAGAAAAAAACTTAAATTATTTTGATCAAATTAGCGTGCAATAAGTAAAAAATATATGTTGGTGTAGTCTTCTACTGGCTGTTATCAGGTATATCTGAATGTGTACAACAGGGGTTTGAGCAAAGCTTTTACCACTGAATGATGCAGAAAGTCTCAGATCCAAAAGACTTCAGAAACCCTATCAGATATTAAACAATTGGCATAAAGGGTTAAAAAAAAAAAAAAGAGAGCAGTTCTAAGAGAAAACGAGGGTGGAAAGAACCCCTTCCCTCCCTCCTCTGATCAGTCTGCAGTAGGGTTGTCAAAAGTATCGATACTCAAAAAAGTATTGATACTAAAACATTGTGTCCGGATATGATACTCATTTTCAAAAGTGTTGATACCAGAGTTAATACGTTTACATAAACGTTGGTGACTGAAAAGTGTTGGTTTCTCTCTTGAAGTCACAGAATGAAGCAGAGAGAAGCGTCCAAACACCATCATAGTATGCTATCACATGATCTATGTAATTTACTGATAGTTTTATTTTCTTTTATAATTATATTTTGTGTTAAAGTCTCTGGCTGTGTCCACAGACTCTCTTAGACTGAAAAACAAATACAAATAACTATGCTATAAGTCAAAATTATTGTGGTGTAGTTTTCTGCCTGCTGTAATCAGGTCTATCTGATTACTTTGCCTCAAAAGGGTTTGAGCAAAGTTTTTACTATTAACTCATTGACTGTCAGAGTTTTTTTTAGCATTTTGACTGATTTTTCAAGAGCCACAGAATAGTTTGTGCTATGACTATGTAAACACCGAACACACCAAAAGAAAGAGTAAGACTCTCTTCTTTCATCAGGAAAAAAAAAAGTGTTTCTACCTTATTCCGTTCTTCCTGGACTTGCGTCTCACCGGCGACATGTTCTCTCATAGAACCGTTAGCTTTTTCTTATTTGCCTACAGTCTATGCTCATCTCCCATCAAAAGTGGCACTGCCCCCTAGAGGGTCAATTTGTTACTACATACTCTGTCTAGAAGCCCATATTTACGGACAAGCTTTAGCAGATCGTCCCCCAAGCCACTCTCGTTGAAAAACATCAAAGACGTCTATAGACGTCTTTGGCAGCCAACGAGTTAAATGATGCAAAAGATTTCAGAAACCGAATGTTTTGAATATGATACGTATGGCATTATAGGGTTAAGGCTCTGATGACTCAGCGATTTGCTCTAAACGGTAGTGGGCGGCCCACTGGGAATCCGGTAGGTGTCAATAATTACTCTGCTCTCTGATAGCTCATTTATGTTCGGGCTTTGTTATGATGCTCGTTGGCGCGTTGGCGTTTCCATCCTTCTTCTGTTGTCCCCGAAACGTGTTTCGGAGGAGGCGAAAAGACACAAAAAAAAGGGAAATCAACAGAAATATTGGCGGGAAAAGGAGCGCCATATGGTCCAGTCATGCTGCCAGACCGGCACCGTATGGAGCAGCAAAGGGGACCAGATCCAGGCTCCCCCCCAGAGTCGGCCTCCAATAGGGCTGACGTCTCCAGGGAGGATGCCGCTCTCGTTTTGCAAATTTCTCCGAGTTTGCACAATAACCGCACGCTTAAAGGGGACATATTATGCAAAACCAGCAAGTTTTTAACTCATTGGCTGCCAAAGACGTCTATAGACGTCTTTTATGTTTTTTAATGCGAGTGGCTGGGGGACGATCTGCTAAAGCTTGTCCGTAAATATCGGCTTCTAGACAGAGTATGTACTAATAAATTATTTACAAAATCTAGTCATAAGGAATTATTACATGATTACTCCACCAGTCACTAGAACAGCACAGACACTCAAAAATGGCATATTATTTGCAGATAATTAATTCCTTTTCAAAAAATCTTTTTAGACCAATTAGGTGAAATGGGAGGATTTTTTACGGCACACCTGACCATCACTCGCGGCACACTAGTGCAGTGTTCTTCAACCTTTTTTGACCCAAGGTAACTTTTTTAATCGAAAGAAAATCACGAGGCACACCACCAACCAAAAATGTCAAACAAATCTGTAGCCGCCTATAGTAACACTATAGTTATTCTTATATTAAGTGTCTTGAATAGGAATCAAATAAACACAAAAATTTATTTTTATATTTCATATTTCTTCTTTCAAATTGCACTTAACATGTCCACTTCAATACGCAAAATTATATACAAAATCTAGTCATAAGGAATTATTACATGATTACGCCACCAGTCACTAGAACAGCACAGACACTCAAAAATGGAATATTATCTGCAGATAATTAATTCCTCATCAAAAAATCTTTTTAGACCAATTAGGTGAAATAGGATGATTTTCTACGGCACACCTGACCATCACTCGCGGCACACTAGTGTACCGAGGCACAGAGGTTGAAAAACACTGGCCTATTCAACCAAATATTACGCAGATTTATGCAACCGCCATCCAGGTTTTATCCACATTTTAACACGAGTTATGAGCATGAATCAAAAACAGGACTGAATTTTACTGTTGGAGCACAGAAGGCTTAACCCTATAATGCCAAATGTGTCATATTTGATTCATACGGTTTCTGAAGTCTTTTGGATCTGAGACTTTTTGCATCATTTAGTGGTAAAAGCTTTGCTCAAACCCCTGTTGTACCTAGAGGGCGAGGAGGCAGCGTTTGTGGGGACAGTGGGCCTTTAAGGCCCTTCAACGGTCACCTGACTGTTACATAAGAACCGGTCAGTGGGACTGACACTGCGCAGAGAGGGGGATAAGAGAGGGAAAACAACAGGGAGGCCGAGGGGGGGTGGGGGAGATTAGACAGAAAGTAACAAGGTGAGAAAGAGAGGAGGGAGGAAGAGAAGCCTAAAGACGCTTTGAGATTAAGCCCAATAATAAGAAGTAAATAAGCGGGCCGACGGGGGTTTGTTGGCTTTACGGGTGACTATATGGGGGGGGAAATATGGGAGGTGGGGCGTGTGTTGCTCTGAATAAATCGGGCCTGAGGACAGAGGAAAATATGGCCTAATTACACCATAAGGGGGGGGGGGGGGGGGAATGGCTGCCAGGGCAATAACAAAACGATCCTGAATCCTGGAGAGGGAGCCTGTAGGAGCCTAGGGTTGGATGTCCGACTCTTCCCACATCCAAGTCGGCCATTTTGATTAGTTCATGTGACTAGCAGCTTTCTGAGGAGGAAATGAAAGTTTACTGTCTATGCGAAATTGGAAGATAAACGATGTTCTAACCCTAACCCTAACCCTTCATTAATTGTGAGAAATAAATATTTTTTGGTTAAAGTAGTTTGGACAACGTTAATGATTATAAACAAC